TGTTAGGCTTCCAGGTTGAAGGTTCAATGGTTTGGGTTCAAGCTGCCGTGATTGCTATATTGCTGATACTATTACTACTACTATTACTACTACTATTACTATTCCTATTACTATTACTATTACTGTTACTATTACTAGTACTATTACTGACACTATTACTATTACTGGTACTATGACTAATCTAGTAATAGTACTAGAAGCACACTATTACTATCACTATTACTATTACTCTGATTCACAGTATAGGCCTTCCGGTTTTTTAGGGTTGGCCCATCCCTGATATCTGGCATTCTAACCCCAGATCCCTACATCCCCGGCATCCCCATTGCCAGACCGCTACGGGGATCTAGAAAGTAGAACCCCCAGTATGGTACCCTATACTACTAGCGCATAACTTCTAGAATTTCTTCAGGGAGTTCTACTTTTCAAGATACGCCCAGGGGTCCGGGTTTCCAAAAGCCCAAGCCTCGTTGACCTGCATGAGGCGATCACTTCGCAAATCCAGCAGGGCCAGGGTCATCGACAAGATCCCTGCCATGTGGCTGCCTTCCAGGAGTTGAACACATTCAACCATGACCTCGGTTTCTCAAAGTGAGCCACAGTCTAAACTCCTTGAAGGGGGTTCCATCAGGGATTATATAGGGGGCTACTAAAGGGAATATGAAGGTGGATCCAGGAGTCCAGACTATGGCTCAAGTAGGGGTGGAACTTTCAGCATGCCTAGGCAGTATGATGGGATGGCGGAGGTGCCTCTCACAAAGGTTCAATTTGCAAAAACTCAGATTGCCGGGTCTTTTGGACTGAGCCACAGGGATTCGGATTTTGGGTTCTTTATGCATCGGATAGCTTTCCTAGTTGTACCCTTAAGGTTTGTACCTCTGGGCTTGATTCCTGAACCATGGAATACAGCCCTTGATTGGGATATTTGGGACCCAAAACCTTAGTTTAGAAACATTCAGGGCACACCCCTAAGCCCTAAACGATAAACCCTTAGAGTCTTTGAACGGAAAGCCCCCCGGCTCAATCAAACAGCTCGAGCTTCAGGATCACGGACACATCATGGTTCAAGGTTTAGGGTTTAGGGCTTGGGGTTCAGCTAATGAGTTGTCGAAAGCCTCCAACCATCAAGTTGATTTCAACTTGGAATCAATTTTTTCCACTGAAAGGAAGATAAAGCGACTGGAAGAGGCAGCCATAAGCCAAAAAGACCGAGCCAGGCTTGCGCAAGGTATCTCCTGGGCTCAGGGTTTGGAAAGTCTTGGGGACTTAGTAAATAGGTGAATAATGGGGATAGCTAGGGTTACTAGATGGATTATATGGGTTGTTAACCTGCTTGCCAAGTCCCCCTGACCCTCCAAGTAGGGTTTGACCAAGGCTTGGGATTTGAGATTTGTGCCATGTAGCATCTGCTGTTTCGGAGGGTTTGGTTCTCAGGACCTTGAGATCTAAGGTCTTTTATTTTCGGACAGATTTAAAGTCTGGGGCTTATGGTTTGGAGTGTAGAGCTTCAGGTTAAGGGCTCCGGCTCAATGGTAGCACTTCTGCTGTTTGTAGCACACCGGCACAGATGTAGGCAACTTAAACCCTAAACATTATGTACCCACGTGATGGTAACCCTAAACCCTATATACCCACATTATGGTAACCCTAAACCCTATATACCCATATTGTGGTAACGTAAGAAACGCCCCTTCAAAGCAACCCAGACTAACCAGCAGCCAGCTTCTCGGGCTTGATCTTGTGGGCGCACAGGCGCTGAAACCAAGGCCTCTCCTTCGCCAGCTCCTGCGCCACAAACGTGAATCTCTCTTTTCAAAGGGTATACTATAGTATGTCATAATATATTATGGTATATTATGATATATTCTGGTATAGTACAATATAGTCTAGTCCCCTATACAATCCCCTACATAACCCTGTTTAAGTAGTTCAGACTACAGCTTATATGGGGACGGTTCCGTGCGAGGCTGCTAGTCCCTACAGGTGAGTTGGTGTTCAAGTTCCTAGCTTACGGCTTAGAGTTTTTGGTTTAGGGTTTAGAGTTTTGGAGTTTAGGGTTTAGGGTTTTGGGTTTTGGGGTTTAGGGTTTAGGGTTTTGGGTTCACTCACCTGAAGGTGCCTTGCATGGGCGCATCAGGAGCTACAGCAAGCATACAGGGAGCGCGCTTCTTTCATTGGTGCATCCTCATGAATCCCTCTACGTTTCCGTAACAAAATCTTTACCATTTGTGCTACGAATACAACATCTGCTGCTGTTACCACTGTTGCTATGGTTGTGATTTCATCAGCTACTACAATTCACAACACCCAGACTTCTACACTATCTTGTAACCCTGCAACCGCAGCATCAACACCAGTTGAATCATCCCTATCACCAAAGGCTTGGTTAGCCCGCTCAGTTAGAGTTTTTCCCAAAGCCCCAAACTTCAGCCCGACCCTAGCCTTCAACTCCAAACTTTCAAGTTTAGACCCTTTACTTTACCCTGAAAAGGCTGAAATTTCTAAACCCTAACCCCCGAACTATACCGCCCAAAGCCTGAAGCCTCCCCCCCACCAGTGAAGATCTGGGGTCCTGAAAGCAAGCGCAGCCACTCCGTAGGAGAGGGAAATCGCCCAGCCAGAGGCCGCGCACTGCAGTGGTGAAGGCATGAAAGCGCCAGTAGGCCTCCGCCTGCAAAAGTTTGGGGCTTAGGGGGTTGCCATGCGGAAGTTTAGGGTGCAGGGATTTGGTCTATAATCCCCGAATAGGCCTATATAGAATATTCCCTTATTCCCTTGGGTTGCAGTTTGAGGTTTGAGGTTTGGGGTAAGGGGCAATGCAAGCTGGCCGCAGTCTCGATCGTTGCTTACAACGAACAAGAGGCTACTATTCAAGTCCTTCCTGTTTCGGATTTCAGGTTTACGTCAAAGCAACAATGATAATGCACGCTGAGGGATACGTGGAGGAGTCGATGTGGTAGGAGAAGAAGTAAGTGGCAGCAGCAGCAGCAGCAGGCGTCGTCGCCGCCGCCGCCGCCGTTCGTCCTCGTCGAGGTCGTCGTCATCCTCGTCCTCGTCGTCCTCGTCGTCGTCGTCGTCCTCGTCGTCGTCGTCCTCGTCGTCGTCCTCGTCGTTGTCGTCGTCGTCGTCGTCGTCGTCGTCGTCGTCGTCGTGGTCGTGGTCGTGGTTGTGGTCGTGGTCGTGGTCGTGGTCGTGGTCGTGGTCGTGGTCGTCGTCGTCATCATCGTCGTCGTGGTCGTGGTCGTGGTCGTCGTCGTCGTCGTCGCCGCCGAAGTGGTGGTGGTGGCGGCGGC